CGTGCTTTCCTATTAGTATCTGATGGATTGCTCCGAAAAACAAGATAAAGCAACTCCTGTACATCGAAAGGAGACTGCGACCATACTAAAGGCTCTACCATCTTGGTCTTAATACTTTTGTTTATTTTAAGTTCATGTTAAATGTGATTTAATGTAAGTACTTTCTGGGATTTCAAAAGCTAAATACTTTTTGTCTATGCCACGAAGCATCGAGGCTTCATAAGTACGAACGATGAATATATTGTGTAAAAATATCCATTATGGCAATTGTTAATGTAAATAAAGGGTCAGCGGAAGTAATTAAATGATTTGTACTTATTAGGTAAAGAAAGCCAAAATAGCAGCTCATCCATACTCAAAAGCACCCCTATATTGGATCGAAATATTACGTTAACAAACAATATGGTTGTTATTACTTTGAAAATTAATGCCTTTGAAATTTAATGCCGGGACGTAAGAGTTTCATTAATAAAGGAAGATAGTCAAAGAACGATGTTAAATTAATTTTAATTTTTAGTTAGAAAGTGTCTAAAGCTTTATTCTTTATGGAATTTAAAGTGAATATATACGAATAAAACAACGCTTGAATTTAAGTGAATCATCTAGCAAAAGGAGAATATGCACTACTTATGTACAAAGTGAAGCAGGGTTTTAGAGTATATCTTAATAAATACATGTTGCTGTAACTTTCACTTTGGGTGAAACGAAAAATGGGAAGGACTCCAAAAGTATATTTAGCCAAAGCTAAAGGAGAATGACATTATAATTGCTATTGTAGATTTTTGTGAATAAATCTTTGGTACACCGTTTGCCAAATGACATAAGTAAGCTTAGCATTGATTAATCTTAGTCGATAGGTGGTGTACCGAGAACTTATTTTCACAAATTTACAATCACAATTCCAAGGCAATAATCCTTCGGGTTCCAGTAAGACCAACTTACAATCCCTTCCAGCAGCCAGTTTAAACGAAATGAAAAGAAAGAAAACAAGAATACACACTAACTTTTACAGCTACTTCTTCGTTGATCCCATTATCTACATGCAAACGGCCCCGATAAACCTCTCCAAACTCGCCCTCGCCCAATCTACGCAAAAGAATTACGGCATCGCTGGGGATCAGACGGAGTTCCGAACCCCCACTTGGTGTTCCACATCCAGCTGAGGCTGCGGAAGAAGAAGAGACGAGAGAAAGGGCAGCATTTGAGCTTGAACCACCAGCGCTCCCACTGCTGCTACCTGAAGAATGGTGACGCTGCATTTCTAGTCCATTGGTTGTCTGTACAAATAAGAAGTAAAGATAAAAAAACAAGATATGAGATGTATATGCACAAATATATAGATGGGCATCTCAAATAAAAGAAACCAGGAGACATAAAAAAATCTAACTAACAAGGAATTGATTGCTTAAGAAGGCTTCTAACACTCATTTGCAAACCCTGTCATCACAGGAGTGTAATATTAGCAAATATAAATTTAGGAGTTGTTTGACCT